GCAGGGGACAGGAAGGACAGAGGGGAGAGGAGTTTCTTTTGCTCTGGGAGTGTGTGTGTGTGTGTGTGTGTGTGTGTGTGTGTGTGTGCATGTGAGAGAGCAAGTGAGCAAGAGAATGAGAGCATATGGGAGATTTAACAGGGAAAGGAAGGCCCAGGACACAGAAACCTGGAGCAGGAAGATGGAGTGGAGGATGGGGGAAAGGAGAAAAGTTTCATATCTGAGTTGGTTAATTAAGTATGGATTTGATTTGTCATGGATATGCCAAAGTATCTTTGAACAAGCTGGGGCTGTCTTATGTGATCAGCATATCTTCAGTAGTTCTGACAGAATGCAGATGTGGACACACACAGTTATGTGTGACAGGCCTGGCCCCGTTTTTGGCACTCTAGCAACATTTAGCACAAAGGACTGTTTTAGCCCGCGTGGCAGGAGGAAAGACCAAAGACAAACCGAGCCGTCGCATACATCCCAAATGGGGTTCCTTTCATAACTTTTAAAAGCCTATGAGAGTTGGCATTGACACTAAATGGCGAAATGGATACTGATGGACTCTTAAGCTATTGGTGGCATTAGGAGTTGGGTTCTCGGATCTCGTTCGGCCCATTTTGTCGTGGACATTTGAAGCAGAAAGTCCAGTCACCAGCGAGAGGGAGATCAGTCAAAGGAGAGCCATGGCTGTAGGTACCAGTTGTTTCTAGTGTCTGAAGAAAGTCTCCTTACAGAGGAGGCTTGTTTCATACTGATTTCATTCCAAAACCATCTCTGTTTTTCCATGTGATATAATTAACACCACGTTCTTATAACACAAATATTTGAACTCAGTTCTGTAGAGGAATCATGATAGAAGGTCGTCTGAAAAGAATTTGCCCATTTTCTTTTAGAACTGGAGGAGACCTCCCACTGACAATCACTTTCAAATTCTCAATGTCTAGTGATTCAGAGTGATCCCGCTGGGGACAGCCCAGATTTATAGAGGGGAATATGACTGCCAAAACTCTAGGCTGTTTTCTGTGGGACGTAAGAACAAAGGCATCCCACGTGTCTTGAGAAGCAAGAGTGAAAGTCATGACCTAGTTCTTCCTCCTACTTTTAAAACATGGGACTGAATAGAGAGCCAGATGTGTCCCAGGACAGTCCACTGACTAACTCTTACCGTTACACATCCTGTGCAGTTCCAGGACACAGGGGCAGCTGGTCAAGGGGACTGTATGGTTTTCCAGAAACAAGTGCTGTTCTGTTAAGTCCACTTGCTCAATCTCTGCATAAACCCCACCAGTAAGTCTTCCAGGATTACGGAGTTATTTCTGCGATTTTAAAAAATTCTACTCTGTACTTTAAAAAAGTGGTTATCAAAACTGAATCAACAATTGGAGGAACTGAAAACAGTTTCTGCAATACTTATTTAGTGCATGTAATAATCTCCCCCACACTACCATACCAAAGTTCTTGCTCTTCTTATAAAATGTCACCCAGGAGAAGACGATTTCTAAAATATTAGACATCCTCTGAGTTTTCTCAATATATTATAACATTAAGGAATGATTATTATTGCAATTTTTTAACTTTTATGCCTTTAACTTAGACTTGCCTTAGAGGTTGACATTGTGGGTTCTGGAATCAGCCTGTCTGGATTAAAATCTTGGTTCTACAACTGGGTAGATGTGTGACCTTGGGGAAATTGCTTAATTTGGGTTTTCTCATTTGTAAAACAGAGTAAATAATGGTCACAAAAATTACAAAAATGTATGTAAAACCTAGTATACAGTCATTAGAATGATAAATGCTAGCAATTATAATCATTCCTGGACCTCTATGATAACTCTAGCATTTTGTTTCCTCTGGCTTAATATACACTTAATTGAATAAAAATATTGATCATTAAATATTAAACTCCAGGGAATTTCCATGTGTTGGTGTAGAAGTCAGTGGGGAGGTGGTGAGAATTTACCCATAGAGGGGACATGTGTGTTGACTGATGTGCTTTCTGAAGGACGCCATGGCTTAGTCTACACGTTGTAAGAAACATTTTACATTTCAGGACGTCTTTCCTGATGTCTAGATGCCTAATTGCATCAAATATTCTCCTCATTTAAGGAAGTGCTGGCCAGCATTTTGAAAAATATTGGAAAACTGAGTATGTGAGAACAATTATTCTGTCATTGGTTGGTCCCCTTAAAGAATACCAAAAATCCAGTTGATTCAGGCTTTTGAATTAGAGTCTGATCCTACTTCCTTAGACTGCTTCTCCCCAAGGCTGGCAGGGGCCCTAGCCTTGGTAGAGATACTAGTGGAGCCCAGAGCCGTGCACCTGCATCGTGGACACAACAGAATCGGGCACCAAGACAGGCAGGGGAGCAGCCCTTTGGTTTCATGTGGCTCCTTCTCTCAAGGAGGAAATAGCACTGACCTCCACTCTCCAGGTTCCGAATGTCTGGCATGTGGGTGGTGCTGTATTTGGCATAGTTCACCCAGAATCACAATCCTGAAGCATCACATGTGAACATTCAAGACATGTTTGACTTTGCCATTTCTAAATATTATACATCTGTTCACTCACTCAACAAATATTTATTCCATGGTGACAACTCACAAAAGATTATGCTAGATTTTCTCATGTCCATCTTTGGATTCTGGCTGAATTAGAATCCCTTTCAGGGCAGAGATGTGGTACCTTATTCATACTCCTATCCCAAGGGTCAGCCTGTAGAAGACGCCCAACCAGTGCAATAAGCATGTGCTGCGTTAAAGTGGGGTGCAAGTGCTGAGCTGGCTGTGCATGGCAAATAATAAGAGGTTCACTCCTATGGCCTCAGCATCTTTAAACTTGGAACTTAAGCAGAATGTGGATGCTTAATACTACCTCTATGAGTATGCTTGGCAGCAGCCTCATGTTAGAACTTTCACTTAAATTAAATATATGATTTACATGCTTAGATAAAAATAAGAGATGAAATCAACAGCCTATATATACTCTTCAGGGGGTCTAGGCTTTTTGGTGAAAATAACAGCTTAAAATAGTATTTCTCTCCAATTCAAAGACCCTTTCATGTAGCAAAAGGAAATGAGCAAAGAAATCCATATATACTCAAGTTTTCAGGGCCAAACATTTTGATTCAATATGTTCTGTTATAAAATATTTGGCCTTGTTTGAATTTTTATTGCTATATGTTCTCAGTCTCTATTTAGCAGAGAGAAATTGATAAGAGATAAGGAAGAGCAAATGTGTGAAGTGTGCTTTCCAAGAGCATGGCCGTGAACTTGAGAAAACACACACTACAGGAGCGCTTTGTGCTTCCAAGTTTCAGCCCCTTTTCTGAGGCCTCCTTTAGCCGGATGCGATTAAATACTTGTTGACCAAAGACTCAGCTTCCTCTGAGGGAGCCCTCTTGGGGCTCTCGGGCCACCTACAATGGCACTTCACTTTACCGTGTCTCAGAGAAAGTTTCTTTCATGCTCTTTTTTCACATGTGAAATAGGGTCTGATTAGAAAGTTTTATAAGGAGGCATTCAATTCCCCAATTCCTTACTTGCTTGAATTAACTTTTTAAAAAATTGGGGTGTTCACTGTGGCATGGGCTGGATCCAGTGTCTGCAATCAGCCAGCAATCTGTGCCTCAAAGGGGCTGGCGTCCTCACTGCTGCTCTTCATCTTTTTCGTGGGGTAATGCATTTTAATTGGTGCCTCTCTGTGAGTGCCTTACGTCTCCATCTGGCCATATGAACACACTTTTCTGATTCAGCCTCAACATCTTGGCAGTGACAAGAGAATAGACTTGCCACAATGGGGAATCTTCAAGATGCACAGAATCCTGCAGTTAAAGGATCCGTACAGGTGGCATAACCGGTAGCTTTCTGGAGGGTGGCTTGTGTATTAAGTGTCCTCGTGTTCTGCGGCATTTCAATGCTGCTCCCTTGGTCTCAATTGCAGTTCCTGAGCTGTGCCAGCATTGTGAACTCTCCTCTCAGAAGGGAAATTAGTCATGAAGTGTTCCACTTCCAAGGACAGCAAGATTTTTTAGCATAGGCTTATGATCAACCTCTTTCCAGTGGTCACATCGGGTCAAGTTTAACCAGGAGGGAGAATGGCAAAATGCTTAAGATCATGGGTTCTGGATTCAGACTGAGTTCAAATACTTTGTGACCATGGACAGTTGCCAACCTCTCTGTGCCTCAGTTTCCCCACAGATAACATCAGTACTTACCTCATAAGATTGTTGTGAGTGTTGATGAAATGATGGTGTGTAGCACAGGGCTTTGATCATATTCACTAATGATTATTATTTTTATGAAAGGTCAGTAGACCAAATTCCTTGGGCAGCAGAAAACAAAGAGGAAGGGTAAATAACCAGACATGGGTTATTCCAAATAATCCCTCACTCTTCCAATATTCTGCTGTTTACACAGTCAGTCATCAAGCTGCCCTGGAAGGGGTCACTCTAGATAAGCTGTGTGCACACTCACTGATTGTACTTCTATGAGTCTCGGGAACATACCCCCACAGGTGCTTGTTTTTCTCTAACCCTCAGGACTGTGAGTTGAAATGAAGGATGCTCTCAGGGATAAATGGCTTACACTTCCTCCCCCCTCCCTTTCTTCCCTTCCTCCCTTCCTCCGTTCTTCTCCTTCCTCCCTGCACTGGGGATGGAACCCAGGGCCTTAACACTAGCTAGATAAGCACTTTACCACTCAGCCCCAGCCCAAGCCCTGGCCCCGGCCCTGGCCCCGGCCCTAGCCTGATGCTGCTCTCAAAACCACAGAGGGGTAAGGCATTGTTTCTGGTGCTCACTTCTGGTCTGCACTTCTCTCCTCCCAACATCTTCCCTTTCCTCAAGGCCACTTTGGTGAGATGCTTTTCTCAGCATGAAGCAGGGATCAGGCACAACTGCATTCTTACAAATTGGGACGTTTAGGCGGAGGAAAGCCAACCAGGCAGCAGGGCTAGTAGACCCAGTGAGCCCAAAGGACCCAAGGTTCTGGGTGCAGGTGGGGCCTCTCACCGCTGGCTCGTTCGGGGTTGTTGCACATGAAGCACTGCCACGCTCCGGCCGCTTCACTGAAGCCAAACACGTCAAAGAACCGCACCTCCTCCAGATGGAGCTGTACCTGGTCCAGGTCCTGTTGCAGGAACACAGAGCACAAAGAATACAGGTGACCTGCTGCTACACGGCATCCTGAGACAGGGAAAGGGGACATGCAATCAGCATAGCCAATGCTCAGTCTCTGTGCTAGGGACCAAGAGGGGCATTGGCAAGGCTGCTGTTGGCCAGTGGTGGACGGAACAGTCAGCTCAGACTCCACCATGGGAGAGCTCTCAGGTGCAGAGAGGGAACAGGCCTGGGGGCTGGGTGTCAGAACCTGGAGTGGCCCAGAATTCTCTGCATCCAGGAGCAGCTCCAGAATTTCTAAAAAGGAGGGACATCCAAGTGGCAGTGTCGTTGAAGGAAATGTTGTTGAATGACTTCTTTTTTATTTACATTTTATATAAAATCGTGCATGATAGTATTCTCATAAATATTGTTTTCGCAAGGCTGCCTTTGCAGGGGCTGATGGAAAATCTGGGGATGGACCTAATCGTTAGCCCTGGGCCCCAGCACTCTCTTAGTCTTATGGCTTATCTTAAAAGCATATGCAAATTTGCATTCTATACCATAAGATCACTCTACTGGTTTTAATGGAAAATTATGTCTTGTTATTTATCAGTAAATCAGTTAACGGTTTTCCTCTGAATGGTGGAGTAGAATTTGATGCACCAGAGGATCATCCTGTTTTGGGGCTCTGTGGCGCCCTGCCAATGTGCTCCTGTTGAAGAGGCTGAGGAGAATTTCCATTAGACTGTAATGGATGGAGAACTATTAGCCTAACCAAATTAAATTGCTCTACTGTCTTCCTAAGGCCTTGCTATTATGGGATACTAGTCTCTTTTTCCCACAGTGGCCAGGGCTGCATGCTTCAAAGGTTGCTCCTCCTCAGAGGGATATTGATGTTCTCCCTGGCCGTGCATGAGCCCAGTGCACTTCTGTGTTTGTCTTGGCTTGAGCTGGGCTTTCTCCTCCTCCCCTGTGGCCCGCACATTCTCCTCTCTCCACCTATGGTAACAAATTCTTCATTTCCCCAGAGCTGGGCAATGTAGATGATATTTGCTTGTCCTGGTCTAAGTAGAGATCAGCTATCTGGATTCTGTCCAAAGCTCCTGATTTCCACCTCCTGATTTCTTGACACAGGTGATATAGAACACCAGACCATGAGATTCTTGAGAGCAGAATGTGCCTACTGGTTCCCAGTTTCAACCTCCAACTCTAGTCTGGCACCAGGAATGGAGTAACATCACTGGTTTGCAGGCCCAGGACAAATGCAATGTCCATTTCCCAGTGAACTATAGGAGAGGCGTTATGGAATGTAAGAGGAATTCTTCTCAGAGAATGTTCTCACTAGAACGTAAGCACGAGGAGGACAGGGATTTTGTCTATTGTGTTGGCCACCGTGACCTCAGCACCTGGAGAGCTTGTCACATGGCAAGCCCCAAGTGAATGCCAGGGTAGTGAGAGGCAGACTGGGACTGGAATGGATCCTTTCCAGAATTCTCTGTGAAGGCCGCTACTGCTTGTGTTCTGGGACTGGACGTTTTGGAGGCTCAATGTGCTGAGTATTTGGGGTTGCTAATATTTCATGGTTCTTACAGGCATTCCGACAGGCACTGTATATATAGGAATGTCGTTTTAACAAGAGCGATTTAGAATGTGTTCACTGGAAAAAAGGAGACTTTCTTTCTTTTTTTTTTTTTTTAAATAAAAGAATGTTCCACAAGATAAAGACTAAAGAAGCACCTGGGAGTTTTGTAGGTTTCAAAGGATGAAATCCATATTAAAATTTATGGGGAAAAAGCAGATGTTCATAAATATCAGTTTCAAAACTGCTAACTCTCTGAAGTCTGTGCTTGGCCATTGGCATGCATATCGCTTCTCTGTTTCTCACACAATTAAGGATCAATTTTTCATTCACCACAAACACTACTAGCAAACAAAGTACTTAAAATAATACTTTGGGGTTCTTTTATTTTTCCTGTTCTGAGACCAGGAAAGTCCCAGGTTGTTGCCTATAATCCACATTTGTCTTGGCAAAAAGTTACTTACAAAGTTTAAGACAGATGGTAAGTTACGTCCCCGCATTCAAGTTCTGAAGCCCAAAGCAGGCTTAACTCTTCAGAGGATTCAGGTGTTCTACAAAGGGAACTGAGGGAAGAAGATGAATGGTAATCCTCTGAACTACTGAGGTCGGCAACAAGAGCCAACGTTAAACAGAGACAGGAGAAATATGTGCAATTTCAAATATTTGTGGAAGATCAAAGTAAGACAAATCACACAACAAGCAAAGACAAACCAGTGATAGCTGAGTTTGGGGGTTTTGACTACTTAAATATACTTGAGTACATTTTGAGTACCATTTGTCTTTCTCACACTTCTGGGTCCTGTAGCTTTCCTGGGCCTTGCCCAAGAATTGTTACATGGCCTTCTATTTCTTGATATTTAAAGATAAGAGAACTAAAATTGAGTTAGAGAATTACGAATGTCCTTTAAGACAACTAGACTCCAGAAGAGTGATAAAAAAATTCACCTCCAACTCTAAGTCATCCTCTGAGTACTTCAGTTCTGATGGGATTATGGCAGAGGGAGCCTTGGGTGACTCCCCAGTAATTTCCACCTCCTGGGATTCCTCCATCTGTATGATCCCCTCCCCTGTGTGTTGGCAGGTTCTGCCACTCGCTTCTAACCAAGAATAAGCAAAGGTGATGGGCTGTCATCTATCACACTATCACACACACATACCCAAGCATGGTTGTGGTCCTGCTAGCTCACTCATGCATGGGGAGACTCCTGCTGGTTCTGAAGAAGCAAGTTGCCATATTATAAGCTTCAGGGAACTATGGCAAGCTTCTGATAGCTAGTAAGAAATCAAGTCCTGTTAGGTACAATATGGCATATGCCTATAATCCCAGTGGCTTGGGGGGCTGAGGCAGGAGGATTGTGAGTTCAGAGCCAGCTTCAGCAACTTAGTGAGACCCTGTTCCTAAATAAAACATAAAAAATGTCTGGGGATGTGGCTCAGCAATAAAGTGATCCTGAGTTCAATCCCTGGTACACCCCCCCAAAAAAAGATCTAATAATCATAGGAAGCATGCACTAAGAAGGATTTTCCTGACAAACACCACTTAATTCAAAAAGATAAAAAGTCACTGAAGAGAAAATGATGTTTTAAAGTGAATGGTTGGTTAGATGAGTTTTTTCCTCCAATTTTAGGAGAAAGTCATTAACAAGAACAGGAATTTGGAAAACTATATAAGTCTCTTGCAGAGCTTTTTAGGGAAGAAATGAACCAGTCAACTTGGAAAGTGGAGGGGATATTTTCAACATTGTTCTGCTGGACACGACAGTGTGAATCCCCACAGTGACTCCTAAGAAAGTGTGCAGTGGCCTCTGGGTCTCTCAGTGTGGCCCACATGCTGCCTGGGGGACTCCAGAGATCAGCAAAAGCAGGCATCTGCAAGAACAGTGGGTTCTGGCACATTCCCACTGGCCTAAAGCTATTTGGACAACATGGAAAACACAGGCTTTCCTCCTGAGCTCTGCATGCCTCTGGGAACAGTTGCACCAACTCCAGACACAGTTCATGCATACCTTAAGAAGTGCAAATCCAAAACCGAAACCCTAGCATTTCCACATAACAACAAGGACTCCCTGTCTTTGTAGTTATTTCTAGTGCACACACTTTAATTGTATGGAGTCCAGGGGACATAGTGGCAACTCAAATGGATATTGTTCTGCATGGTATAGACATAGTGTCTTGTAGGCAACTTGGTGTATTGAATGGATAACTTGGCAAAAGAGACTTTGAAGCACATCTGTTCTATAATTTAATCTTCTTACACACTTCAACTTCTGAAAAATAGTATTGAATTCAGTTGATAACACTTAGTACTTATTGCACTTGGTGTCAGAAAAGATGATACAGAGCCAAAGAGACACTGTCCTGCACTCCAAGGAAGGGAGAGGGCCCTTGGGTTGGTGCAGTTTTCCTCACAGAGCAGGGCTGGAATAGGCTTTCATCTGAATGTGGTGATGGTTATGAAGCTGCTTCTAGTTGGACTCACGGCCCTCAACTAGATTATATCTGCTTGGCATGGAAACTGGTTTCTATCTTATTTTGTAACTTCTGAAACTAGAATAGCATTTTGCCAATAGAGGTATTCAACAAAGTGTTATGAACTCTTACTGATTGAGGCCTGTAGATCTCATCTCTATATCAATTATGGCAATTAGGGTTTCTATTTTCATTTCTATTCAATTATGACCATTAAGTTTTTCAAAATATTTATTTTTGATTTTTCTTAAGAGATAGGGTTTTGTTACATTGCCTAGTTTGCCCTCAAACTCCTGGGCTCAAGCCATCCTCCTGTCTCAGCCTCCCAAACTGCTGGGATTGCAGGCATGTGCCATCACACCCAGTGGCACCTGCATGTTATACTAGCTCCCCAAGTGGTTCTGATGTACTGAGGGAAATTCCCCCCAGTCCTGTGGAGGAGAGGTGTGGATGCTGACCAGGTCTATCAGGTGGTATTTGAGGCATTTTTCAGCTTCCATGTGCATATGCTCATACTTTCCCACGATATTTGGTTTCATAAGACAAAATACAATATATGGTCTGGTCACAAGAACACCATTTTTATTCTTAAAAAATTAGAGATGTTATTATTCCAAGTTGTGCAATATGGAAGGAAGATGTGAGATGTGATGACTGTTGGGCTTAGTTTGAAATTTGGCAGAGGCTGTGGAGGGAGGGGGCAATAGGCAGGAGGCAGATGCTAAGCAGAGGCGGCACAGGAGCCAACAAGGACACGGGAATCAATATGTTTCAGTCTTCAACATGGATGTCACATATGTGCCATGTGCCATAGACTCTTACTTTTCTATCCTGGATGAGTAAGGAGCTCTAGGTGTACATGACTGTGTAATCCCCATCTGTCCAACTGTAGATCACCACCAGACTCACTGTTCTTTCTATCCTTCCAGACCTGGGAACTGAATCCCTTCCTGGCAGTTCTGACCATGGGCCCTGGCTCC